TAATTAAATTTATTTACTTAATATCAGTATTAAAATTAATTTCAACTTGTATACATATATATATATATATATAAATATCCTTATAACAAGCCTTTAATGATTAACCATTTTTTACTTCTAATAATCAGCAATTGGAATTCGACCTCATATATATATATATAACCGCTGTGAGCGAATCAGAAAACTTCTACGGGGAGATCTGTCGTTGTAGTTCTCTTCCGCGGAGAGCACAGTCTTCTCGTCTTCTCTCTCTTCACTGAGCATAAACCCTAAAATCCCCCTTCTTCCAATCCACCACCATCCCCCTTAAACCCTTGCTTTAATGCTTCTTTCTGCACAATTCCTCAACTATTTTTTGCAAATATTATTTATTGATTGATTGATTGAATTCTAGTATTCAGTTCGTGTTTGTGCTGTGTGAGATCATTATTCACCATGGATATCGAGCAAAAACAAGCAGAGCTAATCGATCACTTCGTCAAGCGAGCCTCCGCCACTAAAGGTTCAGCCCTAGGGTCCGTCATCGCCGAAGCCACATCGTACCCTTCTCTCTTTGCTTTCTCCGAGATTCTTGCCGTCTCAACCGTCGCTGAGGTTAGAATTGATTCTATTCCCCCAGTTTTCGTTCGTTGATTTCACTGTTCTTTTGTTCCTTCTTTGCTCCTGTGGTGGTGTTTTGTTGAGTGTGTGCGCTTGCGGTTTCTTTGGTGCTTTGAAAATCTAGAGAAAGGTTGTTTAAGATTCTGGTTTAGGTGTTCATGACAATTGGCAAATCCTTGTTGGTTTATTGTAGTTTTCTAATTTGTTTCACGCCAGTGCATCACTCTTTGGGGATTATTTTTATTGTGGATCAGTGATGTATGGTTCGCCATCCCTGATGGAATAGGTAAAAGGGAGAAAAAAGGGAAATTTTGAATATCATGTTGCATATGTTGAATTGATGATTACCTTCTATAAATTATGACAAATAGTGAATAGGGCTTATTTGGTTAAAGATTTTTGTTTTTCTGAGAGGCTGATGGATTGGTAATGGAAATATGAAACTTGCAAAATTAGTTGACATCCTTTGAGTTCCCTTTTATTTTTCTCTTATTGTCGTCGTGTTTTTCATATTTTTAGTTAAGTTTGTTGATAAGAATAATTACCTGAGGATTTTTATGAAACCAATGGAATTTTGCAGCTTCCAGGAACGGAACATTCTGTTTATGTGGACATGCTTCGTTTGTTTGCACATGGCACGGGGAGCCATTACAAGAGAAAGTAGGAAAACCGTTTTCTGTTTTTCAGTTATAAGTTCATATTGTCTTGAAATTTGTGAGATGCTTATTTCCTTCTAGTCATAGACTAGTACTATCAGTTTGCCATATGGGTTTATTAAGTTTAAATAGACGTGGAAATACTTTGAAGCGCTTCTTTTTAATTATTGGTCAATTGGTCTGAATTTAAATGTAAAAACTTGATATCCTGGCCTGTATCATGGATTGTGAAATACCATTTACAATAACATCTCGTAATAATGCTATTGTACTTGTCTGCATGGTTTAAATTAACTGAATTTTGGCTGCTGAATTCATTAGATAATGCTGGACGTCTTCTTCAACTAGCTCCGGATCAAGTCCTCAAGTTAAAGCAACTTACTGTACTTACACTTGCTGAGACAAACAAGGTGTGCTGCCCTGATTTTATTCCTTTTTAACAATCATTTGCATTTCCCATTTGGAATTCTATCGTCCTTTTTAGTTGCTTCAGAAGCCATAAAGAGCTTTATCAATATTGTCCATGTGATATCTGTTAAGAAACTGTGGAACTCAAGATTAAAAAGCGAACTGAAACTGTATCAAAGGAGCTTGAGAAGAAAGCTTCAGCCCTTCAGAGCATGGAAAGGAAATTCTACCACTCATACTCTATGGTAGGTATCAGTGTTCCTGATACTGCATCTGATAATGGACAGGTTTTAGATGCTCAGGACCCTCTTGCAGATAAGAAATCAGAGCTCGCAGCCTGCCAAAGGTGGGTGGAAGACAAAATGCTGAAGCGTTCCAAGGCATTTGAGGTAATGGGAGCAATGACACTGAATAATCTCCAAACAGGCTTGCCAGGGGTTTTCCGAGCATTAACCAGTTTCTCTGTCTTATTTACTGAGGTACTTGACACAATTTGCACCCGTTCCTATGCTATAAAATAGATGGATAATTCTTTATTCTGGTTTTATTTTTGAGGCACGTCAAAGATTCATCAGAGCTGGGATTTTTTTGACTGTGAGCTCTTATAGGTACTGTTATTATTTGTCTGGGTTTTTTTTTTTTTTTTTTTTTTTTGGGCATGTAAATACATGGGGAGCTCTTTTTGTGGTTCTGTCATCCTTTTTTTTTGTCAAAAGTGAGGAAATGTCTGTACGGGAAAAAAATTGCTTGGATTATTGTATCAAAAGGTTGCAATTTCAGCAGATAAATAAATACACAATTGTTCCAAGCACATATTTTCTTTGTTTCTCAAGGATTTATAGACAGGATGTGTTGTGGGTCCAGGTGCTGGATTATTGATCTGAGAGCTAGGCTGTCTATGCTGAAG